CCCCCCCCCCCCCCCCCCCCCCCCTCTGTCCGTCGCCCTACCTCATCCCTATCACAACCCCTCCCGCGTCTCGAATCCAACACTCAAAATTATACTCCTACATTGCCAACCCTCTTCCCCCTCCCTTGTATGCCTTCTGCAGTATGCATCTCTCCCAAGCGCTTTCCACACTCCGCTCTTCCGCGGCAAAGCCAGCAACACGGGTCCTGCTTCATTCCGTCCATCAACCCCTCTCCCCTCTCTCCTACGTGGCCACTCGACGTTTCCACCCAACTACTCCTTTTCCCGTGCCTCCGAGCCTGCGGCTACCACCCTCGCACAATAGCCTCCTGCAACCCCTCCCTGCCCCCTCCCCCCTCCCCTGTTTCCGTTCCCCTTTCCCCGGCGTCCCCCTTGCCCTCTTCCCTCGCCTGCCCCCTCCTCTCATCGCCTCTTACTACACGGTTTGCGGGCAAATCCGCAAACCGTGTAGCTGCCGCTGCGAACCAAGGCCGGCCGAGGTGGAGCCGAAGTTAGCCGACCCGAGCCCATCCGAACCGAGCTTTAGTAATTGCCGAAATTTTAAAGGGGTGTTCCCAACCTACATGCAAATTAAAAATTCTAAATCCTGCCCTTAGGTATGCGCGTTTCCCACGTATGGTCCCGTGATACTTTTTTGGTGCGAAAGTGGCTAACTTGGGAACCAGGAAAGCTGGAAGGCTGAAACTTTCAAGGAATGTTCTCAGCATAAGTACAAAATAAACCCATGAAATTCAGTCCCAGTCGTGCGTAGTTCTAACGTACAGTCTCATAAAATTTTTTGGCGGGAAAATGGCTAACTTGCGAACTAGCAAAGCTAGAAGGCTGAAATTTTCAGGGAATGTTTCCAACCCACATACAACTTAAACATTCTAATCTAGCCCCCAACATGCTAAACCTGCTCCCAAGTTACCTGCGGTCCTATGAAAGTTTTGGTGGGAAAATTGCTAATTCGGGAACTAGAAGAGCTGAAAAGCTGAGATTTTAGGAGAATATTCCCCGTCCAAACACATTTTAAAGGTTTCAAACTCAGCCTCCATTTATGTATGGTTCTTGCGTGCTGGCACTTGAATTTTTGGCGAAAAAATTACTGACTAAACAGCTGGGTCATTTTCAAAAAACAACCGCTAAACGGTAATTGTTTATTTCTTTTTATGCAAAATTTACGACTATTTACGGTATTGAGCGCACAAAGTAGATGTGAAGAAATAACCGTTCATGCAGTTAACCTAATTACTTCAAGCTTGGTGCAAAAATGCTTGATCGCACCGGCTCGCCTGATGCCATCCAGCTTGGTTTTAAACCCCATATGCTCAAATTCCGGAACCTGTGCTGTGTCAGATCGTAAAGAACGGAACTCCTCATGCATAATGTTTTTCGAATTCATTCATTTGTAGGACGCCCGACAGCCAACTGCCGTTCTTCAGACAATTTTTCCTGCTCGTCGTCATCACTGCTTCGATTGGTAGCGTTCTGTTGTACATTGCAGTGTATGCTATGACTCGAGAAAGTGTTCGTCGTGCTCGAAATACTCAAATGGTTTGCAAAATTCGTGAGAAATGTGCATGTAAAAATTGGAATAGAAAGGCGAAAGAATCACATACATGACGGAACAGCTGGCATGCTTAAGTAGTATAACCAATCAAGAAATGTTGCGGTGTCAGATATGCTTAGTTAGATAACTTGAACAGCTGCACTTCACGATTCGATTGTCCGAGTATGTAGCTGCTACCTTTTCCAGTTACTTTGACCAGCGTTGGCGTCATCGGGTGGTCAGTCTGTTGGCGATTCTGACTCAATTGTATCTTCCTGACAAAATAATTTAGTAAGGTATTTTACTACTACCGAGCCTTTACTTTAGAATGGCACTTATTAAACTGCTTTAGGCCGGTAAGTTTTCATCAATTACCAAATAATCATGCACCAACTAATATTTTGCGCGCTTATTTTGGGCAGCAGAACTTCAGCTAACAAAGCTAAAGCAGGCCATGGCGATAAGACTTTCGCGCATTCTATTCTTGGCAGATATTTCTGGATGGCCAATTTTAGGGATCGAAAGCAGCTGATGCATTTGAGCGCCGTCAACGTAAACTTACCAGAACAATGAATATTTCATGTGTAGTAACAATGATCTTTTACGTAACACCAATGTGTGTGCGCTTTTTCATCGGTGGCACAATTGGTACGACAGTGAACGACTTCGTGACAGTGTATTCGGGAATCAGCTGCAATTTCAATCCACTAGCAATCCTTGCGGCTCTGTTCATAATGCAGGAAGATGTGAAAGGAGCTGTACTGAGCAGTTTACCGCACTGCTTGCATCGGCTCATCCCAAGTGCCGTACCGAACTAAACGTTTGGTGATAATCTCTAAATGACAGTTAATTCAACAGCTCAGCAAAAAAAAAACACCACAGCGGCAGTTTTTTGGTGCAGGATGCAGTGGAGTTAGTTATAAAGCCACACCACTTCCACAGTATGAAATCGGGGCGAATGTGTCTGCGCGAAAACGCCGATCATTTCCATTGGTTTGGCAGCACCCAGCTACAAAATGATAAACAGTGATAACCAGCCTGTCTTGCTGACTGAAATGAGAAAGCGTTGGGGCGCTTTTGATAACATTTTTTCTAGGTGGGCTGGAAATGCTCATGCTCATAGCAGAAATTACTAGAAATAAAATCCGTTTATTTTCATGGCTTATTAGTACCATCACTTTCACCTTCAGCTCTGGTAGCTCTTTTATAAAAGCTCGCCTAGGATTGACATACTACAGTCAGCTGTGGTTTTGACACTTTGCAGTGCTGTAGCCCTACTAGTTGTCACTAGGGATATGGAACCTCGAGCGGTTTATTGAATTGTATATATTTATAGACATAAGTAATCGGGCTCGAGATCTTTAGTTTCAGGATGAGAAATTTAATTTTTCTTAAAACATCTCGCTTCTTGTTTCCCTTAGTCTAGCGCCGCACTTTCTTCATAACTTCCCTCTTTTCTCTGCTGTTCGCATCCTGTCTTGTGGATTCTGTTATATGCTCATTCAATATATGGCGGATAGGCGGCTGTACTGATGATTTTCGCTCCTATCCCCACAATTACATGATCTGCGCTTACCTTTAAGAAATGAAACGGTTAAGAGATAATCGCTACATACGTTAATTAGATCCAGTATCATGGTATCAGCAAAAAACAAAGTGCTAAAAAATCGCATTCCATTAACAACACCAACATGAAGTATTCATGTTGGTGTTGTTAATGGAATGCGAGTATGACTGGGTGTATTGACACTCTTGATACTCTTGATAATTGCCAATATTCGTAAGCAAATTCCC